TTTGTAATTTTATTTGTTAAATTTATACGGTGTTTGATTTGTGGAATGCTAGTTAGTGAATTGTTTATTTGATTTGCGTGATTTTATGTTGGTGTAACTTTATTTAATTTCATTATTTTAGGAATTTAAGTTATTTGGGTTGGGATTAAAGGAAGTTGGACCAACGGATGTGGTATTGGGCTTGAAGGAAGCCTTGTTGGGTTAATTGGTAAAGGCCCGTGGTTGTGAGGATATTTAATAATTATCTTTGCATAATTATACCTATATAATTACATGTGTATATTAATTCATTATTAAATCATGTGGAGAGGTATATATGTCAATATAATTATATATTGATATATATAGGTATATATAATTTATTTAACTAATGGTTATATATGGAAGGTAATATATATATGTTTATAGTAAAATATATGTATGTATATTTATTATTTAAAAGATAAATATTATTTATTTTATATGATAATCCTAATGGGAAAAGGATTTAGTTTTTGTATGTATATAAATAGACACATAAGACTTTAGGGTTAGGAGTTTTTCCACGTTAGAAAAATAAAAGAATTAGAGAGAGAAGAAGAAGGGCTAACGAAGAGGAGGCCGGATCAAAGAACGTAAGAGGAGACCGGATTTGGAAAAGAAAAGGCGAGTTCCTCTCTACTTCTCCTCTTAGAACTCATAAACTTATCACCTTGGTTATCGAAATTATAATTTTATTTTATTAAATTAAATTATTATTCAGATTGGAGGAGCATATTTATTCTTTACAAAATTATAGAATTAAACATGTGAATATATGTATGCATTGTTCTGATAATTTAGATCTTGTATGTGAGGTTAGGTTAATTAAATTTTATTTTTGCTAAAATTTTTATATTTTGCGTTAACCTTGTGTAGCACGATTAATTAAATTAAATGGATTTTAATTTAATTGTATATGTTCATTTATGCCCAAAATAATAAATAGAGCTTTTGGGATTTTTCTGAGATTTCTGAACAATTTCTGAAATTAATTTATATTTTTAATGTTAATTTAGAAATTGTTTTATATATATATATATATATATATATATATATATATATATAATTGTTTAACAAACACACTGGAGGCGGCTAGTATTTGCGCATCAATAGGATTTTTATCCAATGTGGTCGCGTACGTAGGAAAAGGGTGCACTCGTTGATCTAGGCCATAGGATTAATTTAATTTAGTTGGATTGATCTGGTGTGATGCGGTCCATTGTAAGTTGATACACATGCGGCGTCAATGGTTAGATGTAGTTGATTAAGGGAGAGGATCCAGTGCATCGCGGCTTACCAAGAGCACCAAACAACAACCAATTAGGAGCTGCCGACACGCGCCGAGAGTGGCTCAGGCGCGTGAGGGCGCGTGCAGGCGCGTGGACGCGCCTGCCGGTAAGGGGAAGCGCGTGGAGGCGCGTGGGAGTAGTCTAGGGGTATGTGGCGGCGCGTGAAGGCGCGTGGGGATGCGTGTGAGGTCCTGGAAAATTGCTTGAGACTCCGGTGAAGTTCCAGTATTTATCTTAAGCTTGTTAGGGTTAAAATTAATCATTAGAGGGTGTGTTCTTGATATTTTGAGAGCCTCAGAGTGTTACTAAGATACCTAGTAGCATTTAGTGGTATAAATATAATTAATTAAATATTTTTGCAATGAAAGGAGGTGTATATATGTGTATATATATGTAGATATGATTTTAAATAGTCAACGATTGGTATGGAATGTATGATACACACATATATATATATTATAAAATATATGTGTATATATATATTATTTAAGATTATTAAATATTATAAATCTTGTTTGGTATGACTTGATTCGTGTATGGTATGGTTGATTTAAAATCATAATAGATACACGGTTATTAAATTAAGGACATGCTTATTATATGCATGTGAAGTCTATGTATAATTATACCTAGAGTTAAGTTTAAAGTTAATACATGGTTGAATTGTAGGCATGGATGAGTTGCCAAAGGATTTGATATACTGCCTTATTGGTTATGAATAAATTTCATATATGGGAAGTATGGTTGAATTGCTAATTAATTGTAAAAGTAAATATATTGAAGAAAGCATGGTTGAATTGCTAGTATATAAATAAATATATTTATAAATGGTATGGTTGATTTGCCGGTGCATATTTAAATTGCTATATGTGTAGATGACTAAATTACTGTTTAGGATGGAGTTATTGGTGAGTGGTTTTGACCATTTAATGCCCTATTAACTGGTAGGATTCTTGCACTATATATATAAGTGTTTATATATATTTGTAGCATCGTATATTAAAGTTAAAGCTTAATTAGGGATGGTTTTGGTAAAGATGATCTGTTTATTGGTTTTCAGAGGCTTGGTAGAAAGTACTTGCTCGTAGGGTTTAACCCGCGATTTATTTTTCAGGTTGTAGAAGGTCAAGTCTCAAGGTTGAGGATCCGCATCTGGAGGACTTATCCATTCCTTCTATTTACTTAAAAGTAGGATATTAGTTTTGTTTCAGTTGATATTAGTACTTATTTGGTTGAAATTCTAAATAGTAACTTTTGGTTAAGGGGTCCTTGAGTTACGGGATTCCCGAGTTGTAACCATTTGGAAGTTATTAATGGATTTACTATTAATTGGATTTCTTCAGCGTTTTATTTTATTCTTTATTTCATTTTATAATCCGTACTTGTTTAAATACTTTAATTGGTTTGATATCCTCTGATTTTGTGCGCGGACTTGATCAACCCGTGTTCCGAAATTAGGGGGTATTATATGGATCCCAAAGGAAGTTGTTGAATAGAAGTTCATTCTGATGCAAGCTGACGAATTATTACAATATTTCCAAAGCTCAGTAAGGCCAAACCATCTATTTGCCCAACAAGACGGAGCAAAAGTGCTAAAATCCAATTGTAACGGACTAAACTAGCAAGGTAGAAATTGTCTAACATCTGTGGTGATGTTCATAACTCAAAGCCCAAGGACAATGCTGGTGAGCGGATGTGCACTAGGGTATGGCTTTATTTTGTCTTCACATATGCATACACCAACTATGCGTATATTTGTGATTGGATCATATCAACCGTTAACAAATATGATTTATTTACCGATAAATAAATTAATCCAAAGTATCACCTCGTTAAAGTGAAAATTCATGCGGGTTGTATTTAAATACAGCTTATAAATTATCACTGGTCACTAATTTGACTATTAAAATGTCATTGGCCAATGTCATTCGTAAGGACGTCATTATGCTGTTGTTCCGGTTGTATTTTCGCTTTAACAAAATTCTCTTTCATATAAAAAAAAAAAAGACACAAAACATGATAGCATTACTCTTTATTTATTATTATTTTTTTTATCAACATAAATACTAACCCACATTTCACTAAAAACGAGCAAATTTGGTCGGTGCCTTCTCATTTGACCCTGGAATTTCGATGCCCAAACAAGACAAGACATGGCGGGTAAATGGGCCTGATTTTCTTATATTGGGGGTGATACTGTCAAGTGGATGTTTGGGAGAGACTCTCAATCCATTACGCATATCAAACCAGTTGAAGAAACTGTGGCGGCTATCATGGAAGATGTGGATGTCTTTCTTCAGCATAGAAATGATTTTGGTTCTTGTTTGTGTTCCTCGCGGAGTGGGCATGTCTATGTAAAAAATGTGGAGTGATACTCTTTCTTCAGCATAGAAATGATTTTGTTCTTTGTTTGTGTTCTTCCCCGTGGACTTGTCCATGTAAAAAATGTGGAGTGATCTCAGTGACGGACGCATTTTTTTTTAGGGCGGGCCCCGCTAAAGAAAAAAAAAAATTTGTAGACAAATTTTAAAAATTATTATTATTATTATTATTTTTTTTTGAAGTGGGGTTTTTTGTGAAATTTTAACTAAAACATTTAACTAACAATATAAACTAGAAAAATCTAGTGGAGGAATAAGTGAGATAAAAATGTGAAGGGGACATTTTAAATAATTGAGTGGAGGTATTTTTAAAAATTTAATTAAATTATTTAAGTAATAATATAATTTAGAAAAAGCTGTCCCTACTGGACTTGAACTGGGTCGTTTAACTGGAACCAAAATTATAAAATTCTTAATTTGTCTCCGTATACGCGAGATGAAATATTTTCTAATAAAAAAATGCCTCTCTATTGAGCGAAAATACTTTTAACTCGTTGCTGTGGCAAAACAGTTTTACCCTCAGAATCTCTCTTTCGGAATATTGTAACAAGAAAACCTTACAAGTAAGAAGTGATATAACCACAATAAAAATTAAAGAATTAGAAATAATAATAATAACCGGTTTAATTATTGCATCTCATACTTGGTAGTTGGTACTTAAAAAAATAAAATAAAATAATTTTAAGATCCTGCAACGAAATCACGCAAGCCAATTGATTAAATAATACAAAATTTACATGCTTCTATATATATATATATATCAAACAGCTCATGTTATTAAATCTTCAAAAATAGATGCAGTTTGCCCATGCAGGCCATATCTGCCACCCATGATTCGGCAGCGTTGTGGCATAGATGCGGAGTAATTACATGATGGCAAGATCAATATGTTAGGTATATTTTAATTAAAATATTAAATATTATTTCTTCTGATTTTAATTACATTTAAGATGACTTTATGGTGCTTTATTATGACTTCAATTTTGTTTTAAATTTTGAAATTATACTCTTATAATTGATACCTTCTTGAACTACCTAAAAAAATAAGGCCTCTTCAATCCTGACAGTTAAAATCAGTTTTTTTTCTCTTTAATAAGCTTGCGTTCATTCTATTCCATATATTTCACCATTTTATATACATTTTTTGGGCAACTCAACCAAGCTTGGTACACAATGTCTTTCTTTAGAGGCGCCCGAACAGGAACAATGGTAGATATAAATTGTACGTTGGAATCGTACTGGATTGTTGTAAGGAGATCGTCATAACTTTAAAACAGAGTCTAGCATGTCTTTCAATTATCTGGACAAGTTTTATTCAATTTAATTTACTATTGTTGTTTTCTTTATATATTATTCTATCAAATATATATTATTTTTTACAAGGCAAGAAAACAGAACACCACAACACATTACAGAGAAAACAGAGAGCAGTCCAAAGTCCAAAGTTGCCAACTGAAACAAATGCACCGGAAGTTCTTGCAAAACTTGATCCCCAGGTAGAAGGGACGTTGAAAGCGTAGCGGTTTCATGAGCCAAACGATTCCCTGCCCTTCTAACATAAGATAATTTCACTTCCGGAAAGTATTGGAAGACAGACTTAATATCAAAAACAATGGATGAAATATGAAAATGACAAGTCTGCCTATCATTAACTGCGTCACACACAACACGAGAGTCACTTTCAAACCATACTCTATAAAAGTTGAATCATTGAGCCCACTACACTGCAACCCGCAACACCCAAGCCTCTGCCATAAGCAGTGTTGCCGTGGGGAACTGCTTAAGAATCACAAGCTTTAAGAGATACCCATTGTTGTCTCTGAAAATGATTCCACCTCCTGCCAAGCCTTTGGAAGCCAAAAAAGAGGCATCAACATTACATTTTGTCACGTTTGTTTGGAGAAGGGATCCATACATCATGCTCTGAAACCACACCATCCAACTGAACTACTTCAATAATTTCTGGACTATTAACATTAGCATCCAAAAACTCCCAATAATCAGCCACTGCCTTCCGAACCACATATTGCCAGCTGGAGCATTTGCCATAAAAAAACCACTCAATTCCCTGCCTTCCAGATGGCCCAAACACATACAGCAAACAAGCTTCTTAGCTCCAATCTAGCAGACCCACCTACAGTTCCATGACCCAATGAACTCCACCATGTTGCAAACAATGAAATAGACAATGAGACAAAATCAAATCGAAGAGGGGACAACTTCCATACATGAAGAGCGAAAGGACAACGGAACATGAGATGCTCCATCGATTCGTTTTCTCCACCACAACATGGGCAAACCGGATCCTAAGAAAGACCTCGGTTATTAAGTACCTCGTTGGTGGGCAACACTCCCCGGCAACATTACCACAAAAAATGTTTCACTTTTGAAGGAATATTACATTGCCAAATTGACTGCCAGCAATGAGAATCAATATTAGACTGCAAAACACTATTATTATGACTAGAGATCTGTGAGAGCATCTTAAAAGCAATATGATATGCTTTTTTAACAGAAAAATCTCTGGACGGTGTGGGTGACCAACATTGAACATCTTCACGCCCATACAAGCTAATTGGAATTCACAAAATGGCCTCCACGACATCCGATTGGAAATATTGAGCAAGGATAGAGACTTTCCATGAATGATTCACCTCATCAATAAGATCCGCAACCACATGCACTGATGGAATCTCAACCTGAGGGGCAAACGGGCAACAAGAATTTGGTATCCACACATCTTTCCATATATTAATCATTTTCCCATTGCCCACCAACCATCTCATGCCCTTTTTAATAATGGGTTGTGCAGACCAAATGCTACGCCAACCCCATGATGGATTACTTCCCGACGAGGCATAAAGAAAAGAACAGTTACTAAAATATTTCGCTTTATATAATTGAAACGCCAGCCCTTGTTTCGTTACTTGAAAATTCCATGCTTGCTTGGAGAGCATAGCCACATTATATGCCTCTATATCTCGAAAACCCAACCTTCCTTCTTGTTTGCTCCTACAAAGACAATCCCAACTGGACCAATGCTATCACGACCCGAAAATTCTAATAAAATTCTCGATTTGTACAAATCCAAATACATCAGGATCATAAAAATTGCCTTCTCTTTTATACAAAATCTATTTCCCCAAATATACAAAAATTCTCCAAATAAAAAAAAAATTTAAATCTCGCAACACCAACTCTTCAGCCTAAGCCCGAATCTAGCAATCCCCGTTCATCTTCAGTACTTGAAGTTGGAGGGTGATGAGACAAAAAGTCCCAGGAAAAACCGTAACAAGAATTTCATGGAGGTTTAATAAAGCGGCTTCCCAAAATATACATATTCATATGAGTATATAAACAAAATAAATATGCATTTAATCAAAACATTTAATAAAAAAACCATTGAGGTAAAACCACTCTAAGCTATTCAAGGTATAGAGAACCCTACACTGAAAAAGAATTTTCTCACTATATCACCAAGTCCTCAAACCTCCGGCCTCCTCTGCAGACTCTCAGCTCACTCTCTGTCCCTCCTCAATCTCGGCCCTCTTTATGCACTCTCTCTATCTTCACTCTATTTTTCTCTATTTCTATTTGCCTTTGCACAAAAGTTACAAGCCTATTTTATAGGCAAAACCACCGATTCAACAATTGTTCACCACACACACAAAATATCAAAGACCATAATCAATTAGTGGACCCCGCCACCATGCTTTCTTCTCCTTCTTTTCTCATTCCGTATCTTCACGCCATCAATTCGGCAGGCCCGCCTGCCATCTCTTTTCAACAGACACAACATATATACAATAACCAAATCAATTCACCCAAACAACCCACGTGAAGCCAAAGACTTTTGGCAACAAATGAGACCCATGAAATCATTATAGCTTTTCCTTCTTTCCTTTTCTTTTCAGCCTTGCTTCCTTGTCCCATCCGATACAAATTATATATATATATATATATATATATATATATATATATATATATATATAATATATATAAAGATGCAACAAAAAACCAAATCTCTTTCTCACGTGGGACCCGCAGTAACATTTCCATTTCATTTTTTTTCCTCCTTCAACTTACGGTTACTGCTTTCTTTCCTTCTCCATCTGATATACAGAGCACACAATATATATATATATATATATATATATATATATATATATATATATCACATTTATACAAAAATCAAATTCAATCTCCCTAAATAACATTCAAGTGGGACCCGTGCCAATACAACATTCTTTTATCCCATTTCGCTGCTCCACTTCTTATCCCATCAGGTACCATATAAATATATATATTGATAATATGTAACAAACCAACAACTCATTAAATAATTCTAGTAGGCAAATCTCCAATAAAAATAAATAAATAATCAACTATGACAACTTAAAAATCATGAAATAAATTAAATTAAAATCTTAAAAATTCGGGTTATTACAATTTTCACCACTTAAAAAGAATTTTGTCCTCGAAATTCAGATCCAACCGTCCGTATACTCGAAAACACTAATAACCACAAAACAAAATCCATAAATCCTTATCCTAAGCGATGTGAGATACCACGATATGTAGGACGTTGTGGTAGCTGCCAGTGCTAGTCACCCGCCCACACACTTCGTAACTGTTGTGGTAGCTAGTCGATGTGTCATCCGCCTACTAAAAAAAAAACAAACAATAACAAATCTGGGCTACCTGCCCAATCACACTAACCAACCATCCTTGTAACTGCCAGTGAACGCCATCCTCTCACACACACCCGGCTACGAGTGATAGCTGATCAGTACTACACACTTGCCCACTCACACCCGTCTACATCATCACTACACTCACACTTCCGGCTGGGTGCAGGCTCTGATACCATTTTGTCACGACCCAAAATTTTTAATAAAATTCTTGATTTATACAAATCCAAATACATCAAAATACACTAGGATCATAAAAATTGCCCTCTCTTTTATACAAAATCAATTTCCTCAAATATACAAAAATTCTCCAAATTAAAAAAAAATTTAAATCTCGCAACACCAACTCTTCAGCCTAAGCCCGAATCTAGCAATCCCGTTCATCTTCGGTACCCGAAACTGGAGGGTGATGAGACAAAAAGTCCTAATAGGAAAAACCATAACAAGAATTTAATGGAAGTTTAATAAAGCAGCTTCCCAAAATATACATATTTATGTAAGTATATAAACAAAATAAATATGAATTTAATCAAAACATTTAATAAAAAAACCATTGAGGCAAAACCACTCCAAGCCATTCAAGGTATAGAAAACCATACATTGAAAAAGAATTTTCTCACTGTATCACCAAGTCCTTAAACCTCCAGCCTCCTCCGCAGACTCTCAGCTCACTCTCTATCCCTCCTTAATCTCGGCCCTCTCTATGCACTCTCTCTATCTTCACTCTATTTTTCTCTCTTTCTGTTTGCCTTTGCACCAAAGTCACAAACTTATTTGATAGGCAAAACCACCGACTCAACAATTGTTCACCACACACACAAAATATCAAAGACTATAATCAATTAGTAGACCCCGCCACCCATGTTTTCTTCTTCTTCTTTTCTCATTCCTTATCTTCACGTCATTAATTCGGCAGGCTTGCCTGCCATCTCTTTTCAACAGACACAACATAGATATAATAACCAAATCAATTCACCTAAACAGCCCACGTGAAGCCAAAGACTTTTGGCAACAAATGGGACCCACGAAATCATTACAGCTTTTCCTTCTTTCCTTTTCTTTTCAGCCTTGCTTCCTTGTCCCATCAAATACAAATTATATATATATAATATATAAAGATGTAACAAAAACCAAATCTCTTTCTCACGTGGGACCCACAGTAACATTTTCATTTCATTTTTTTTTCCCTCTTTCCACTTTCGGCTACTACTTTCCTCCCTTCTCCATCTGATATACAGAGCACACAATATATATATATATATATATATATATATATCACATATAATAAAAAAATCAAATTCAATCTCCCTAAATAACATTCAAGTGGGATCCGCGCCTATACAACATTCTTTTATCCCATTTCGCTGCTCCACTTCTTATCCCATCAGGTACCATATAAATATATATATTAATAATATGTAACAAACCAACAACTCATTAAATAATTCTAGTAGGCAAATCTCTAATAAAAATAAATAAATAAGCAACTATGACCGCTTAAAAATCATGAAATAAATTAAATTAAAATATTAAAAATTCGAGTTATCACAATCTCTACCACTTAAAAAGAATTTCGTCCCCGAAACAATCTCTTGACACCTTTGCTCAGCTACCCATCTGGCATCGAAGTGAAATTGGCGAGCCTTTCCGTGCATTTGTGGATAAAGGTCAAGCAACAGAGCTACATGGTCAGAACCTGCAACTAATAAATACAATAGTTTAGCTCGAGGGAACATCAGGCGTCATTCAGCTAAAATTAAAGCACGATATAATCTATTAGACCACACAACATTAAACCACCAGCCAAACCCCTTGGAGAAACGATATAACTATGAGTAAAACCCGTTTGATTTTGCAGGGCATTAATAAAAGGATTACTATTTTTTGTTTCTAACAATGCCACCATCTCTGGAGAATGACACAAAATAAGCTTCTGTAATTGGCGAACGGTGAGGGAATTCTTCATACCTTGACAGTTCCAAACTAGAATCTTCAAGCATAGGCTAAATGAACTCTGAGAGGCTATAGTATGACGACTCGCATCCATTTTGTCCGAGCACCACCCTATGATTTGGGGGATGACATACTGATTATTTAACTTTGAAGAAGAATGCGAGATACCATAGCAATGATTGGTTCACTGGGCCACACAACGATGCCCTAAGTCACGTAAGTTACCTGTATGGGCTTCAACATCAACAAGGCAACTATGGACCAAATATTTGTCTTGGCGATAATTGGATGAAGGAGGTTGGACTAAACTTTGGTGGATAGACTCTAGACTTTCTGGCTCATGAGAAACCAGGTCCTGATTGGATGTACCCAACGACCTTTCCATTGGGTTTGGGGCAGAGGCCCAATTACTGTCTGGGTTTAGGCCTACACCATTTGAGTGAACAGCTTCGCGTATTCTGGATGCTTTCGATGCATCTTGGAATTTGTGCTCTGTGGTCGATAGATGAGTCGCCGAAGATGTCCTCGACGTTGGCAAACCATAGTCGGCGATTAAATTAGCTTCGCCAAGAACAGGTTCTAACCTCCGCACAGCACGAGATCGGCCGGATCTCGAAGCAAAGGAGTTTGATTTCACATAATCCACCACATAAACAGATGGGTTCACCGATAAAGTTGAAGATGGGTCTGCCATAAAGGACTGAATAGAACTTCAACACTCGTTGATGAAACCCCACAAGCACAGTTGAACAATCTTAAGGAAAAGGGTTAGATCGCTGCAAGATGCAAGAATATGGCCTAAAAAAGATAAAAGAAAGGAAAGGCAAAAAACTAAGCTAAAAGGAAATGCCGAAACGAGCGAAACCAAAGCAAAAAGAGAGCCTACCAGTAGATGGATTACATTATGACAAAAAGCAGAGAAACTCCTATGAGAAGGAGAAATTTGACGTGATTCCTTTAGATGTAAAGATTGAATGGGTGTATTCATAAACCAAATTATTTCTTTCCAATATTGTATAACTGCAATATAGTTTTCTCTGTTCTTCATGTCCAAAAAAACACTTCTAAACATGTTAATTGACTTATTAAATATGTTTTTTTATTTCCTTTTTAAAAATGTTGTGTTGTTTAGAAGTATTATAAAATGAATAAATTTCATTTATTTAATTTTTTTTTTCCTGGCAAACAAAACAAGATTACACCATATGAAGATTACATAGTTCAGCTATTGTGCACACAACGACGGGATCAACCCAACAACAGCCAATAAACAAAGCCACAATAGAGATACCTAAATACACTGCAAACACAAAGGCGCACCATTGCTTTGTAACATTGCCTAGCTTATGTGGTGTATTAACTGCATCATGGTTATGATGATTTGCAGGTAACAAGTTTGGGCTTAAAGTGTAGGCTAACTGATCATTAGGCCCATTGGATATCCCCACCAGCCCATCCATGTAGTGAACACCATTAGTCGTATCCACAAATAATGGCCCGAACGCACTAGAACATTCTGGATTTGCTTTTTCCCATGCACCATCATTACTCTCTTTGATACGTGGGCCAAAAACTAACACCACATAGTACAATGTGAAAAACGAGGACGACTTAACGACGCACATCTCCGGAACGGAGTGGACTAAAAGATCGCCAGCATGCTGCCATCCGCGTAAGCACCATCATTGTGAGCCCCCACTTACAACAAAGTACCCCCACCAATCATAGTTAGTAGCAACAAATATCCACATCGGATATGTACTAACCTGTTTATTCATTCCGACAACTTCCAGCTACGACCCATAGTCAGTGGTGGCCGAATTATACACAACGCTGATCGGAGCAGAAGCAAGGACCAGCATCCGAATAAACTTCATTTATACTCCCTGTTGTTTGTCAATACTTCAAGTAGACCTCCTATATTTGCATAATTTCAATTAGATCCCCTAATTTTTCTGGCATATATCAGTCTTTCCCCTCATGTAATGGTCAAAGATGGTTCGTATCAAAAAACAATTTATATTGCCCAGCAAACCTTTGCTTTCAACTTTAGATAAATATAACTTACCAACTTTAGCAAGTTAATTTTCTTAAGCCTAGAAGGATTTGTTGTTTAAGAATTTATCGCTTAGTGAGCATCTTCCATTCCGTTTGTAGTATATTTTATATCAATTTTTGCTAATTTATCTTGTCTTTGAAGCAATTTAATCTTTGTGCTTTGCATACCGGTTGGGTCTTTGATGAATAGCCAAAGATATCTTTAATTAAGCTCGTGGATTTCTCTATTTGCCCATAGTTAAGATCAAGTTCTCTGCTCTCTGTATATTTATCGTTGAAGCTCTCTTTCTCTTTATATTGTTTATCTTGCTCTCCACGGTCGAGTTCACTTAAAGCTTTCACGATTATGTCTGTTGTGAAGCTTATCAAAACGGTAACTAAAACTCAAAACTTTGGTCTTTTGGTGGGTTGTTAATACTTCACCAGAATGATTAGGGTCTGACTAAAACTCGTTGGTTTTCTAAAGTTGTAGGTTTGAGCTATTGACGGTTTTAATGGAAGCCAACAGACCGAGCTTTTGCCAGAACCTTAGCTAAATTTGTTTTCTTTGTTGGAGCTAATTTGGTTATTAATGTAGCTCACCAAAACTGTTGGGTCTTCTCTGAAGCTTATCAGTTTGATCATTGAAGCTTTCCAGTTTTCGAAGTTGTCAAGGTTCGAAAAGAGTGTTTCTTGATAAAGAAATGAGTGTTAGGTTAAGTGTAAATGGACGATAATAAAGGTAGATTAGTCATTTTATTCATTTATTTGGCATCGTAAGTCAACAAAGTCGGATAAGGGGTCTAATTAAAATTATAGAGAGCACGTGAAGACAAAATTTTGAGCCAAAGTGGAGATTGTTAAAGTTGTGGCTCAAATTCTGGTGAAGAATCCCATTCTAAAAAAGTGAAACCGGTTACACTTTAAAGGAACCGGTTGCACTTGGGCAGAATGGTCGAAACGGTGATTCAAAGAAGTGAAACTGGTTGCGCTTGCCTTATATACACGAGAGATAATTTCCTTTTTGTTTTAGAAACCCGAAGACTTGAGGAGCAAGGTTGAAGATTTCAGAAGGAACTTGCGGCATATTAGGATGCTATTGTAGAGTTATAATTGATATGGTAACTCTTTGTGGTAAGTTGGGGAATTCTTATCCAATAAGAAATTGGGTTTGAAGATTTTAGAAATAGAGATGATGGAAGAGTATATGTAATTTTTGGGTGTAGAGATGTAGTCTCAAAAAAGATGAAGAGTGGGTGAATGGGTTTTGACATCTGGTTATATATTTTATTCCTTGATTTATAATAGTGAAATCTCTCTCCAGGGATGTAACCTTAGAGTTGGGTGAATCATATAAATTATTGTGTAGGGGTGCACACGGTTCGGTTTGGACCGGTTTGAGAGTTTTTTGAAACCAAACCATTACTAACGGTTTCAGAAAATCTAAAACCAAACCGAACCATTTGACCAAAGGAACCAAAACAATCCAAATGTGAAACACCAGCTGAGTTCGGTTCGGTTTGGTTCCACTGTTCTTTTTTTTTTTTTTTTTTCTATTATAGAAATATTTATATTTCAAAATTCAAATGCACAACAATAAACTAAGTTAACTAACACATTCAGAATTACTAACACATTTAGTTCTAAAACATATTTTAATACATTCAAAATTGTTAATTTATTCAGAATTTCTAATTCATCCTTCTCTGTCAATTTTGGAACTTAAGTGAATTAGTGAATACCTAATACATTTAGAACTACTAATTCAAAAACAAACACCACAATTCAAAAAACCAACAACATTCAGCCAGGGTAGAATTATATTATATTATATGTATAATTATATATATATATATATATATATATATATATATATATATATATATATCTTAACGGTTTGGTTTGGTCCGGTTCAGTTATAAAAGTCTGGTTTCGTCCGATTTGGTTATAAGAGTCCTCAAAATGTGACCAAACCGTATTTTTACGATTTCACAAATTTGGAACCATGACCGAACTAAGTAAACTGAACCAAACTGTCTAGTTCGGTTTGGATTTTTTGTTTCACCGAATTTTTGTGTACCCCTACTATTGTGCTGTGCGTGAATATGTATGATTGTTATCTTCATATTTACTTTCTCTGTGTATGATGAAATATGAATGTAACTCTTAACAACAACCGTTGAGTAAGTTACAGAGATTTCAAAATAAAAAATAAAAATAGATTTCTCTCTCATCTTTAAATATTTCAATGATACACGAGTCAATAAAAAATCTCGATTGACATTTATTTCATTTTTCATTACAAAAATTTTACCATCGAAATATCAAACCGTCACAGGATATGAGCATTCAACTGTGGGTTGTTGGGGCATTCTTTTGCTTCCGCTTCTTGCTAAGACTCTGTTTGACCTTCCCAACGACTTTAAGACATTAGATTTATCTCGTTCAAGTCTTATAAACCTGAAGTCGAAAATAAAACAAATTAAGATTAAAACGAAAAAATAAACCCTGAAAAAGGGATTACAACTTTTTAAATATTTAATTATCTTATATTTTAAGGTAGAACCCATTATATTTGACACATGGTCCCATTATATTTGACACTTGGTGAAATAGTAAATTTTTATTTAGCGAGTCATATAACAGAACTCAATATATTTTGATCTTGATTAATGTATAATTTCAACACATTATCTCAGTTCATACTCGCTATATACGTTTAAACTACTAGCCTAAAAATGTGTTCCTAGAGTCTAGCACAAGTCTTTTATTAGAAAAGAAATACAATTAATCCTTATTGCATGAGAATTTCTTAAACAATTTTCAAAATAAAACAACTGTAAAATATAGATCAATGTGAATAGAAATTGGAGACATTACACTGTTAATTAATCACAATAACATCTAAAAAACTCGGAATTAACGCCAAATTATTGTGGTGAGGACTCCATGTGACTAATCAAAGTCGCAGATTTTAGCCACCCAATCAGTACACATTGAGATGACTTTCCACGTCCACATGATCTGAACACGTGTTTCACATTTTCACATTAAAAGAAACCATGATGTCGAATACTCGAAATAGAAAGGATGGCTGCGGTTTACCATCACTTTCGGAAATAATTTTGAAAATTTATTACATTGTCCCGGATGATACAACCACATTGTTCAGTCCAATAAAGCTTTTCCAAAAAAAAAAAAAAAAGAAAAAAAAGAAGAAAAAAAAATGGTCCCTAAAATTTTTATAAGATACTTCTACCGTTCCATATTAATAGTCTATTATTTCATTTTTACATGTCTTAAATTAGTTGTCATTTTTAAAAAGTCAAAAAAACTTTTCTTTATATTTCTATCATTATTCTTTATCTTTTTAAAAAAATTTAAACTTTATAACTATATATATTTAAATTAAAAAGAATAATTTAGTAATTTTAAAAGAAGACAATACATTAATTGTATGTCCACTTAAAAACTCTAATTCCTATAAATGAATCTCTGTTGTGAGACGAAAGTAATATTATAAAGAATGTGAATATAAATTTTGATTGAATTGGAGAACAAGTGACTTATGATTTAGAACCATCTAATAATAATTCAATTTATTAAACAAAATATCACACATTCAATTTCCTTTTGTAGGTTTGGTAAATAGTGTGGCACGGAATTAATTCCATCACATGCTTACAGATCTCATGGAATGATTGATGAGGTTATGTCAGCTCCAATTTAATTACACTAAAAAATCATTCTATCCATACAAAAAAAATCTAACCATCTGATCTAGATAAGAAAAATAAATAAATATTATTGTTGCCTATATATAGAGCAAGAAGCTTGGTGCAATGAGCATCAAACCTAGCAATGGCTAGCAGAGGTTTCTTCCTTTTAAATCTCTTTTTCCTTCTTCTTTCCTTCCATCGATGTGCCGGTAGTGTAAAACCGAAACACATCTCAGCTCCGTTTAACCGGAGTACTTTTCCGGCTTCTTTCGTATTCGGTGCTGCAACAGCAGCCTACCAAGTACGTATATACATTCAGTTTCTTAGATTAATACATGCAGTACTTAACTATACACGTACTCATTTGCATTGCTAGCTATATATATATATATATATATATGTATGTATGTATGTATGTACATGTTTGTGTGTGTGTGTATTTATTTGTTCTCATTATTTTCTTGTCTGCTTAATAGATTGAAGGAGCAGCATATAAAGGAGGCAAGGGTGCTAGTATATGGGATACTTTCGCTAAGCAACATCCTGGTTCTTATCTCTCCCTAGATCTGTGTGTGTTGTGTGTGGTGTGTGTGTGTGTGTGTGTTTTGTTTCACCAAATCTTGAATGGAAAGGACTTGTTCAGAGATGGAAAACACTAATTTAACACATTACTATACTATGGGGACAAGAGAGTTGACGGTTGACGGTTGAGGGCACAGAGATCAATGACATTTAACCAGTGATAGACCAAAATTTAAAAAATACCTATACGACAAGGAACGAAAATATATATGTATTTATATTATATTAATGTAGATATGTTGATTAAAATTTATATGCATCTACATATATATTTAAAAAATAATAATACTTTGTCATGTTATACATTTTCTTAATAATGTTTCCTTGCAAAAATTATAGCAAACAAGTTGAGACTTGAGAGAGTGAGAGTAACATTACATGAACATAAATGTTGGACAAAAATTAGCCACGACAATTCTCATTACATCGCACAACTTATTATTATTATTTTTAAAAAAAATGGAAGAATTTTTTTTTTTTGGTAACAATTATACTATGATACTAGAGTAGTTGAAAAATTCGACCCTTTTTTTTCTAACAATTATATACTTTAATATTGAAGACTTTTTTCTTCGGTAATTATAATATTGAAGACTTGTTTATATGTCAAGGAATATATGAGAAACATTAGTCGCATGACTAAAATATTTGAGAAGTAGCAAATACTCCTTTAAAGGGAAAAAAAAAAAAAAAAAATTATGAATATTTTTATGTGGTATTAGATACGTATTACATATATTAAAAAATTATTGATATATTACACGAACACAATATGAGCATATCCTGCTTGTCAGAATATTCGTGCTTCATAGGTTGACACTTGACATGCAAATGGAAAAAGATAATTTCACAAAAGACCCTATGTTATACGATTTTTTCTTAATTACTGCCCTATGTACTAATTTTTTGGTGAAATAAATACCTAAGTTATTAAAATTGGAGTTAGAAAAAAAAAAAAAAAAAAAAAAAAAAAAAAAAAAAAAAACAATACCGCTGTCAATTGTTTTGTTAATTCAACAGTTCATTGATGGGGGTAATATGGGACAATATATACATGTAGTTTAGGGAAGTTTTATGAAAAACAATTTATTTATTTATTAATTAATTAATACATACTGGGGAAGGACCACTGTAATGAAGTGGTCCAATAGTCAATTATATGATACCACCACTTATGCCACATCATTTTCATTCACAGCTAATGTACCCTTAATATATAGCCTTATTTGATAATTTCATGTTAGGTCATGGCATCTATTGATATTTTAGGGGAATATTCAAAAACCAATTAAAAATAGGTAGATCCTATGATTCTTTTCTTCTTCTTTTTTTTTTTCTTTTTTTTTTTCAGCAAAAAAAAGATTGATTTTAAGAAGGGGAAGAATCCTGAGCAATGTACTTGAAATAAGAAGTAAACTAAGTGTTATTAAAAGAAACTTGTGAAAAATCAAAAATCAAAAAGTAAAAAGTGAAAGTTAAAATTATTTAGAATCAAGCATTTTTGGGTCATTGTTTTCAGCTTAACATGGAGTCAGAAAATGTACATGATATAAATGACCTCAACTGCATGTAGTGTACAATCACTGTTGAGTCGTTGTTTTTTCTTTAATATAGAGCCAAAGTGATAGGGTCCCACACCTTGCAGACTCGGTCGATGACAAGGCTATCGATCATGTAATAATTTCTTCGCTTCGTGATATGATGTTATAGGAGTATATACTTTTTTTTTCAAATGGTCTTTATCCCCAATAATATATAATCTCTCTTCTCCAAAAAAGAGAGATTTAAAGTTTCAAGTCCCACCAATGACATATTATGAATAATAGACGTGTTACTTTAACTTTTCAAAACAATAAAAATAAAAAGAAGGTGGTCCATAATTCTTTAAATGTAGTGTACCTGATATGACTTTGTAAAAATTTATACTTCATAAAACATTTTAAAGAAAAAATTAATGCTTCAGGAAACATACAAGCATATTATCAGTTTTAGGAAAATGTTTTTGAGACCGAATGGTTTAGCCGAAGATGAGTGGATGTGTTTTCTGAGATGTTCCCTTTTTTTTTTTTTTTTTTTTTTTTTTTTTTTTTTTTGTTAGTGATAAAATGTTAAGTTATTTATTTATTTTTTTCTTAAAAATATTTTTATGATTAATATAAAAATAGTGATCAGCTCATAATAGTAACTTACAAATTAACCACATAATTAGTCAAAAAAAAAAAAAAAAGTAGAGCATATGAAATTCATTTCAATGTGACACTCTTGAAAAGTCCCATAAAATGTGTTTTTTGGCAACTGAGATATTGAAAATGAGAAGTGAAAGTCATGTTTGTACAATTGTGTTTTGCATTGATTTTGGGTGACGAAAATTATTGCACAATCCATGATCTCTGAAAGTGAAATGTGAAAATGGGAACGTTCTAGCTAGCAATGGTCATTGTTATCTGTTAAGGTGTCACTTCATAGGTGGTGGAGTATTGCCACATGGGAAATTTAAATATAATATTTATTTCGTGTCACGGTAGAAGTTCTACAATATATGGGGTACATACTTTCTCATGTTAGTTCATCCGTTAAGTGAATTTCACCATCACATCTAACAGTTGAGAGAATTAAGAGTACGATACTCTCAGAGTATTTTTTTCATGACATACGTCTTTTTTATTATTCTCTCCCTCCTAGGACATAACACATATGATAGATCTGCTTATGATGAAATTATTAAAATAACTACTATTTGAACTTGCTTCAATGATAGGACTTTCATAATATTATCACGTGATTAATTTATCAATAATTGAGGACGTGAGCTGATGTGATACACATGTTTTTCGATAATTACATTAAACTCATTTAGCGTCGTTATTCGTCTATGAAAATTCAAATAATTACAATAGACATGTTTAGCATTGTTTCTTGGCCTTATAAAAGATATTTAGTATAAAAATTCAAATTTATTAAATTTTACTCATCAAGAGATGATTTTTTTTAATTACTACTATTTTGGAATCAAAAAAATAAAATCCAAGTTCAAATTTGAAAATATCTCTGAACTTTAATTCAAATAGTCAACACTTTTTTTTGACAACTTGTAATGGTAGAGCTTCTTCATTGGAAGCCATTATTTTTGCTTGTTTTTTATATGCTCACGAATTATCAAACATTTGTAATGACTTTACTGTTAACCCTTGAGTTGTAGTGGTTGATATGATATTTATTATGTAATATTTCACAGTAAATTTCTCTTCCATCCACTTATATTTCTAAAAAGAAAGAAGAAAAAATTCAAATCATCAAACAATGCTTTATATAATGCTTCATATAGTAATATACGAATAGTTATACACACTGCATTGTTGATTCATCTTCGTAGATGATCTCATACAATAATTGTCCTAATTCTAGATATCTTTTCTTTCATTTCTCTATCCTGAAACAAATAGAATCACAATCAAAACACTTTTTTTTTTTTTTTCAACAATAAAATCTAGAATAAGCACTTAAAAAAAAAATTATTAAATGATTCTAAAATCAACCAATCGCGTCATTAGCCGAGATCCTTTCTTCCCTATCTTTATTGGGGAATGGGATGGATAAAGAGAAGTAATGGGAGTACTCCCTTCTGGTTGAATGACATTTGATTTTTTTTGTTATTATTAATATATTATGATTTTTTTCTTCTTCTTTTGTGTGTCACATTTCATAGTTTTCATTTATCTGGACCCACAATGAACCAAAATACAGTTGTCAATTGTCAGCTATTTATTGGCTTTGCATGTGACCAAGACCTTTTTATTGTCTTATGCTTTCAATTTTGGACAGCTAAGACTTTTCTTTACCAACAAAAAGGATAAGCAATATATAATTTGATTTTTATTTTTATAGTTTCAACTATGGTATACTGCATCGATTGATTCATAATTATTTTTTAAAGATTAGACTCCGTTACATATATATATATATATATATATATATATATATATATGTGAATCGATCGATTAAGTTGGTCGATCGTTTAAGTTGATTTATATCGATATTCGTTCGAGTCCGTTACCATGCGACCGATAATGCGATTAGAACCATATTTCAACAACTTTCCTTCTCAAATAAAAAACAACTGGAACTAAAAAATAATAGTGTTGGAAACAATTTTAACCAAAAAAAAAATATAGTGTTGGAAACAACAAGGACCCACTATTACAGATGATGCAGACGCTAATTAGTATTCTACACAAAGAACCACTTAGCAAAAGGGTAAAATCTTTTAGAAAGACCAAACATATTCTTGATTTAATGACTTTTTAATTTTCCTTTTCTACTTTGCTTAAATTTTGTAGTAATTATCAGTTCTTTTTTTTAAAAAACTATTATATAATATGACACATATATATTTTAAATATACTTATGCACTCTTTTGCATCAATTTGTATATCAAAAATAAAATACTTAAAACATCAACATTAGTGTGGAATTATAATTTAATTTAAACTTGGTCCAATTAGGCTCAATTTTTTTATTTTTGGGCAAGTATTAGATTAGGCCCAGCCCATTAACAAGTCAATCGCCCAACCGGCCCAGTCCTAACTTATTAATGGGCCTGCCTTAAAGTGGAGCTAATTCTAATGAGATAATAAATATGACAAAAAGGCATGAAATCTGAAAGAGTTAATTCCACTAATTTCAAACCATCTAAATTGTATTAAATATCACAGTAAATAAGTTTATATGAAATCGATTCTGATCCACCTAAGAGACCATACAAAAATTTCTTAGTTTCTTTAGTCTTTAATGATTGTTATTTTCCTCTTGTCATGATTTTTCAATGTTTGTACCATGGCAGAAAAAATTTGGGATCACTCTACCGGAGATGTAGCCATTGATTTTTATCATCGTTATAAGGTATGATCGAATGATGGAATAAAATTGTTGTCCGTTGTTTTATTACAACCTTAGGGTTTCTAACTTGTAACGTTTTGCAATAATGTCCATTTTAAATTTTTTGACGAGAAATTCCTCAACTAACAGAGGGGTTACTTTTTGACATATTACCCAAAATACCCCTACCAAATTAAGGGAGTTTTATGCAATTCGTCAATTATAATTGGGCAGATCACATAATGCTAGGGGATTTTTTGAAATTCACCCTAGATAAATCATTTTGATGTGATTGCTACTATATTTTCATGTGTAAAAAATAAAAAATGACTGGAAAATGTTGTAGGAGGACATACATTTTCTGAAGGATCTTGGTATGGATGCTATGAGATTGTCCATCTCTTGGCCCAGAATATTACCACGTAAGATCACCAATTTTCTCCCTATTTGATCACATAATAATCAATTCCATCATTATTGAATATTTCTTTTTTTCAAAAAAAATATATATATATATATATATTTTGCAGGTGGGAAGGTTAGTAGAGGAATTAATCAAGAAGGTATCAAATTCTATAACAGTGTCTTCGACGAACTCGAATCCAAAGGTGATTACCCTCTCTCAATAAAGATTATTACATAGTTCGGATAGTTTCGGACCAATCACAAAATGATACATAAATAAATATGTCAGTTTTATGTCATTTTCAATCAAATTTTTATAACTCTTCTCTCATCTTTGCTATTATGATTTTTCTTGCTCTAAATTGCTGCTACATCAAGCACAGGTTTAAAGCCATTTGTTACTCTTTTGCATTGGGATATACCACAAGCCCTAGAAGATGAATATGGTGGAATGTTGCACACTAACATCGTGTAAGTTATACATTTAATTATCAAAGACAGTAGCTTTTGGAGCCCACAGGCTTCTTGTAAGTTAGACAGTAGCTTTTGGAGCCCACAGGCTTCTTGTAAGCGATAGGGTTGATTCACATCTACAGAAATTATTAAATGATCTTACATCACTTGATCTCGACTTATCACAAACTGTTATAAAATAAAAAAATTAAATAAGATTGATACATTTAGTTGCGTGACAGTGTAATTGACTGAGGTCACATGATCTCGGACCATTAAACAATTTTCTCTCAAATCAGATGGCAAATATATTTTCTAATTATCAAATTCTCAAATATTGCACACCGCATTATTATGTCACAAATTTTTTTTTTTCAAAGGTCATAATTATGTCACATTGTTTAATGAGAACCGTTTTAAATATGTTCTAATCAGAAATGATTTTCGAGACTACGTGGATATTTGCTTCAAAGAATTTGGTGATCGAGTGAAGTATTGGATCACTATGAATGAACCAATATCCTTTAGCACAAATGGGTACACAATCGGGACACAAGCGCCCGGTCGATGTTCTAGCTATGCCGGAAATTGCACGGCCGGAAATTCTGCGACGGAACCATACATTGTAGCTCACAATCAACTTCTTGCTCATGCAGCTGCTGTGAAATTGTATAGGGAAAAATACAAGGTTAGTGTTTATTACTGTATATATAAGAAAATGCAATGAAACATTATTTCATGTCTAAGATGATTATGACAAAATCCTATAACATTACTTTGTGCAAATTAAAATGGAGTTATTTTACTCATATGGACAATTATTACAGTGAATTTTGCATCAATTTTGAATATAAATATATGTGTGCGTGCACGCAGAAAGATCAAAATGGAGAAATTGGGATCACGTTAGCATCCCACTGGATCGTGCCAAAAGTCAAAACAGTAGCAGGTATCAAGGCCGCTTATAGAGGCCTTGATTTCATGTTAGGATGGTAAGTACTAAATTTCTATCCACGAGATAATTAAGGTCTGTTAGGTTCAGTTTTTTTTTTTAAAAAAATTAAATACGTAAAAATAATACATCCGATACGTATGATATGTGTAGGTTTCTGCATCCACTCACATATGGTGATTATCCACCGAGCATGAGAGCTATCGTGGGGCATAGACTTCCCAAATTCTCTCCCGCACAATCAAAGATGGTAGCAGGGTCAATGGATTTCTTAGGCATGAATTATTATACTTCACAGTATGCATCTATTTCTGTCTCTGTCAATAATGTCAACCTCAGCTACTCAACTGATAGTCATGTCGAGCTTACTAGTAAGTTCAAGACTCAACTCGAATACCCAATTTTTTATTTGTAGAGCAAAACTTATACCATCAAAACTCATTACTTACTCACAAAAATATATCACTTACTCTTTCATTTGAGAGAAGTATCACAAACAATAATAATAATAATAATAAAATGTGATGTTTATTATTTTCTTTATCATTATTATGGGATTTTTACTCAAAACTAGAAAACTCATGTCTTCCATTTGTTGGTACAGCGGAAAAAGACGGAGTTCCTATTGGTCAAACGGTACTCTCCTATTCTCTAAGATCGAATTGTTAAAGTGAATTACTTGATTTATGATTTTTTATTGGTTATATTTACCAAATATATAAAAGAATAAAAAAAAAAAAAATGAAAGGTTAATATTTTGCATACATAACTTTAACCTAAAATTCGTTTTCCTACTTGTAAATGTCATTCACTTGCAACTCATCCACATGCCTTAGTGTCCTCAAATAAGCATCCCAATTGCAAGACAACTTATGGTTCACACAAAACTTACTATAGCTAAATTCTACTCCTTTTGTAGACTGCATTGGATTGGCTCTGTGTTTGTCCCAAGGGAATCAGACTTCTTATGCTCTACATCATGAAAAAGTACAAGAATCCACCTATTTTCATCACTGAGAATGGTAAAATTTTAACAGCTTATTAATTATATAAATGTTTCATCATATTTCAAAGTTCAAACAACTATACTTATATGTTTTCATTATTAATTTGCAGGAATGGCTGATCAAGATAATAGTACATTGACATTACAAGAGGCCCTCAAGGACAATTTACGGATTATATACATGCAAGGACATCTATGGAATCTCCAAAAAGCTATTGAGTGGGTTTTTTTTTAGTACCTATAATCCAACCACAAGAAATTATCAAGATATTAAATACTTCACCACACACTGGACTCTGTTGTTATAGCACGGTGCTGCAAGAACAGCCAGGATCATTCACAAGTGTGGGACTACCACAAGTATGAATGATTCTTACCGTCCAGTTCAATACAGCAGAGGATCCGACTTCCCTTGGATACTCCAGAAAAACTGTTTTTGAATTACACACATTATGACCCTAGAAAACACCAATATTAATCGAATGTTTTGATGAAGCATATATACTTAAGCACATATTTTAACTTAATATATGGTAGGGGACTGAATGTAGAGGCATTTTTGCAGGGAAGGAGCAAATGTGAAGGGACACTTTGTGTGGTCATTTATGGACGACTTCGAATGGGATGCGGGTTACACGGTTCGGTTTGGCTTGGCTTTTGTAGATTACAAAAATGGTTTGAAGAGATATCCTAAGCACTCTGCTTACTGGTACAAGAAGTTCCTCCTCAAAGCAAAGTAACAACTAGTTCTTAGTTTCTGTTGAGCTGGAGTGTACTATGAAGTTGAATAAGGAGAGTTTCTTCAACTAGTTTTTTTTTTTTTTTTTTTCGGAGGAATTTTAGTGTGTGCCTTTTGTTTAGAGAGTCCCGAGTTTTCATCTTAATAAAAACAGAGGTTTTTAATTAGTCTTTGATGTTCCAGAAATTGCCTTTGTACTCTGTGGATAGCTTCCTAGTCCATGTTCTCTTATTATCCCCACGCACTTCCTAGTTTCATTAGACACGGCATTACGAACATACCTGTCTCCACTGGATTTGTTCCTGGAGGCAAAAAAAAAAAAAGAAATCTTTCAGCCATTTCGGGTTAGGAAGATGTGAAAGCATTTTGAATAAGACGATTTTTATTTTATTTTTTTTCTTCATATTGAAAAAGTAATAAGAATGAGAGGTGTTAATTTTTTCTATCATCCTAGTATCCGGCTATTTTTTCGCGTGACCTTCCTTACAATTTTGGCATCGTAGTATAGTTCAACCATTAAAATTGGAATGAATTGATGTGATTCCTCTACGCCTAAGACAACAAAGAGGATAGGTATGTAAAACCGCTAAGCCAAAAGGCACTTTGGCCATCTTATAACTACTAAATTCATAATAATCACCATATATATGCCAGAACTAGCAATAAGTAAATTACGAGTATATATATATATATATATATATATATATAACCCAATCATAATAAACGAATAGATAATAACATGGTCTCACCTATAACCAACTAAACGAAGCTAACCACCATTCTTGGCACTCACCTAACGCGTGGCTGAACAATACGTCTTGCATTATTTGTCTTGAAAGACATGAGAGGACAGCCTATCTCTGATCGTTTATATGTTCTCATTTTGGCAACCTTTTGAGATGTCCCTTTAATAATATTTTCGTACTTCTGTAAAGTCACCATGGCAATCACGTGCACATTTCAGGATAATTAGTAGACATTGGAGACAGTTTCACATACATCGATAAAGTAATAATTGAGAACCATGTTTTTATGTACTCCATAACTTTTTGTAGATCTCAGCTTTTAGCAATGTTTTCCAATATTAACAACACAAGGTTTACTTATTTAATCCGTTTCCTAAAGTCTTTTTGATGCAACTGAAGGAGAGAAATAGAGAATATGTAAATGACATAAATTGGTATTTTGAGATATTGAGATAATACTAGTAATTATTAGAGTAATAATGCAATTAAAATGAGGCTCGCTATCGTGTAACGATAAGGAGGTTATTTCATTGTAAATTAGAAGTCAAGAGTTAAGACACAAAAGTAGTTTTACATATGTAAAGTAAGGTTGTATACATCCGATATAAGCATAAACTATAAAAGTTTACAAGGAGCAATAAAAACTTTAAATTTACAAAGTTAAGAGATAAGTTTATATAGAAAATATGATATTGTATAAAAAATTGAGTTGCGGAAAAGAAATCTTAAATCATAAAGAAACTAACTATATTAAAAAATATTATAACACAAGGAAACCTAATCTCAAAAATAAATTACACTAAAAAATAGAATCAAAACCTAATCAATAAAAAAACTACTAAATATAAAAAATGAGAGCATTCCGAGTCCTTTTAGCCAATGAACAAAAATTTTAAAATAATCAACATGCCTCCTAGACAACAGAAAAATTATGTTTCAAGGTCTTAAATGACGGAATTCGATCCAAAAACAGCGTACATCACAACAAATTAGTGAGTATTGTTCGTTGGGTCGTTTTCAGTTGAAAAACCGTCATTTCAGGTCACAAATGGACACTTCGGCTTTGGCCCAAAAAACCTATTAGCACGCCGGTCCGTTTGGCTAATGCTTTTGTTTCATATTTTTTGCTTTTGCTAGTGTATGGTAACGAAACAAAAGCACAAAGCAGATTTATTTATTTTCTTAGTTCAGAAAATTATTTTCAATAAATACAACCAAGCAGTTTTATGAGTTTTTGTTATTTGGAAACTATTTTGTAAATATTCTTAACCAAGCAGATTTAAATTTGAAAAAAATTAAAAACTATTTTCTAGAATCAGAAAACTGTTTTTATAGAAGCAATCCAAGCAAGACTGGAAGATCTCACTCATTGTAATGTTCAAATTTATTATGTGAATTGTTTAGTTTGAATTAGTGTTCAAATTATTATGTGAAATTCAAATTGTTCCTTTTTAATTTCAGGATTTTATGTACCACTTCTCATTATTATAAGGTGGTGATCCAATTAAATCCCTGCACCTAAGGTTGATTAACAAAGAGAATAGTTGCAAGAAAATGTTGGAAGAGGCCTTAAATCCAAATTCCATTTACTCTGTATTCAAAAATATTTCATTTGTTTAGATGGTAATATTGACTTTGGAATGTAGACATGAATATGGCAATTATGTATTTCGAAAATTAAATTTAAACAACTACAAATTGAATTGGCTAGGTAAATTGACTTTTAAGAATGACTATAACTCAAATTTTTTTTTTTTAAATGCAAGAATGTTAGAGGTTAGTTGTTAGTGATGGAATGGAGGATACAAGGTTTGAATACGGATTTCCAAACACAAAAAGTAACTCAAACATTTGAACAACACAACATTTGTGATTTTAATTCGTTCAATCAATAAATGAATTTCTAACCAATGTATTAAGTTTTAGGCACTTGTAACTTTCAAAATATTTTTAACTTTTCTTGATTATTCGAAAAAGATTTTATGTTGTTCAAAGAATTAGATTTTAACCAATGTATTAACTTTTAGGCACTTGTAAATTTCAAAGTCGTATTAACTTTTCTTGGTTATTCAAAGAAGATTTTATGTTGTTCAAAGAAGATTTTAAAAAAAGTGTTATAGGTTTTTTTTTTTTTTTTTGTTTAAAAAAAAAAAAAAAAAGAGAAAAAGATTTGTGAAACTAGTTAAAAAAATGATGTGTAAAACTTTTTCTAACCCAAATGGAAAATGATGTCTTTAATATAAATAATGAATTATATAAATAAATTTATAAAAAAAAAAAAAATTAGAGACTAATTTGTTTGTAACGACTCTCTGTAATTTGTTTTTTTTTTTTTTTTTTTTTTTTTTGCCTCTAATTTGTTGGCAAACACTTCAAGTTACCAAACATGTTTTTAATGTTTTGCTTTTTAAAAAAAATTTCAACCCATTGATGTTATTAAACATGTATTAATGTTTTTTGTTTTAAAAATTCATGCAACAAATTTATAACGATTACTAAACATACTTCTAATTACTATTTGACACACTCCAAAACATAAACATTACTTCTATTTAAAATAAAAACAGAAAGCAAAAATAATGGCTAAACCGAATAATATGTTATGCTATTGTAGCATAAGTAATACTCAGGGTTGGTTGGAGCCTTATCGCCTAAGGCCCCGTAATTTTTTTATTTCTTTATATATTACAACTTTGTTAAAACAATTACAATATTTCCTTTAATTATTAAATTTCAATACATAGAATACACTTATAATCTATTGAAGAATTTATTGAAATATTAAACTAAATTATTCGAAATCAGTTTCTATTGTTCTATAACTGAAATTAGTTTATAAAATTATTACTTTTTGTTATCATAAAATTATATATTTTGTTTATAATTTTTATTTATATTGTTAAATATTTCTATTAAAAAGTGCACAGCCAATTAATTAATGATAAAATAAGAGTTTGAAAACATTTTAGTGATAAGTTTAAAAATCATAAAATAAAGTAGTAATTAGAATATTACAGTATAAATATATGGGTATATTTAATTAAAAGAATACTTTTTTTTATTCTCCCAAAAAGCTCGATTAAAATCAATCCTACTCGAAATGTTCTTGCAGGACCCCATTGCTGATGTGACGCTTTGCAGGACACAAACTTTGAGGAAAAAGATTGAAGATTAACTAAGCAAAAGAGAAAAAATTGAAAAAAAAAAAAAAAAAAAAAAAAAAAGAAAAGAAAAAAAAGTAATCACTCAAAAGACAATGAGTCTAAAAAGCTATGTTCTCGTACTTTGCACAGTTTTTTTTATCCCAATCTCATTATATATGATTTAGATTATGTTACTTTTGCACTCCGGACTAGACACACTTTTATCTCTTATTTATATTTTTGTCCCTCCACCATTCTCGACATTCTTACCTTACGGCCAATAATGATTGCCACGTTTTATGCGCTGAAGATCTTATTTTTCTAAAATAGTACAACTAAGAATATCAAAAAATTTCTAAAAAAATAATTATAAAAAATGTGCTTCAATCAAATTCAAAGAAGTGCTAATGACTACTACTCATCAACCATATTGATGGTGTAGTATTAAAGTTAAGGAAAATTATTTACAGGGAAGGACGGACAGCCTTTTAACAGTAATAAAATAAAAAATATTATGAGGGCAATAGTGCATTCTTTTTAATAATTTGAGTGAAGGAAATTTTCAAATTTTATAAATATATAATACCCAAAAAAATACACAGACCTATTCATAGATCCGTTACGTACATGTTTATTTAAAAATATAAAAAAAAAAACTGATATGCAATTTTAACTAAAAATGATGAAATAATATAATTCAAAAGAGAGTGTTTGTTAGTTGTCACATTAGTCAAAAATAGATAAACATTTATATCACTATCCTTACAAGTTAATACTAATATTGTGAAAGTACCGGTAGATACTAGAATTTTATGGACTTTTGTTTTGATAAATTGACCCATTAAATATGGGTCTTATGTTTAATTAAATTATTTAATTAGCTCAAACTTGGTCCATTTAAATTATTTAATTAGCCCAACTCAGCTGATTAAATAAAAAGATAATTATTTCTAATAAAATATATTTGGAATAATTATTTTATAGATAATCATTATAATATAGCCAGCCCTACCCAGTTATGATTTTGTCCTTATCATGAGACAATACGTGTCATTATCTTATTAATTCAAGAAGCCTATAAATAGAGGCCTGGAGGAAGGAGGAAAGGGGTCCAAAAATTTAGAGAATCAGAAATTCAGAGGGGACAGAAATCCAGAATTCCAGAGAGAAATACAAAAGCTCTGCCGACATTCATCCTCAACACCCAAACCTGAAGGCGAAGAACAATAAGCAAATTAAATCGTGTCGTTCTTCATCAAAATTCCATGGTGATCAACA